CAAAACAACAACAACAACAAAAAAAACTCTAGGTAAATCTGAGGGGTAAAGATAAAAAGGTTGAAATTCATTTCTTCCCAAACACTGTGGGTACAGTAATTCCTAGTTCACTTTGAGGCAGATTTTGACCCTAAATGAATAGTTTGTCTTAGTCTCTGCATTGTAAGTGAGAACAGTCAATTTTTTCTTGATTTGGCTTATCACTAAATTGATCATTCTCCAAGCCAGGGGAGGTGGAAATGACTGTAATCACCTCTATAAAGTTCTTTCAGGTGAAAGAACTGACTGCATCTTACTTCTTCTAGCAACCCTCTTTCCTAACTCTGAAGCAAATAAACCACACTAAGGATAGTATTCTGAACATATGGCTTTCTCAGAATATGGGGAATTCGCCTGCCTGCAAGCTTTTTTTTTTTTTTTAAAAAAAAAAAAGAAAGAAAAAAGAAAAAAAAGAAAAAAGCAGCTTTGTAAGTATTAACTTATTTTTGTCCACAGAAGGCTGTACTTGATCTTACTATCTAGACAACCCCATGCAACCAGTTCCTGAGGGCTGCATTCATTTGCCACATATTCTGCAAAAGCCTGATGTAATTAAGACAAGAAAAGGGAAGAACTTCAGTGCCTCAGCCCAGCAACATAAAGACCAGCAACCTTCTTTAGAGAAAGAGTCAAGAGCAGATGATCTCAGAGGTCTCCAGTGGAGCTTGCACCTTCCCTTGCCACCTTTCCAGCAAATCTCTCTGAAGCACATGGCTCCATGTGGGACATCTTAGGCAGTGTGTTTTTGCCCTTTCCTCTCCCTCAACAAGACACCGTATTCTGCATGGGCCGCACTTCAAATCTGTCCTGACCTTTGTGTAGAGCATGCAAAATGGAGGAACATCCAAAGGGATGCATTGGACTCTCTGCAGAAGCCTAGCAAACTTCAAAGTTGCAAAGGGGTGGTTTTGAGGGTCTTGAGAAAGGGAAGATATCAGCTAGAGTTTCTCCCTACTCTGCCTACCATCCAGGAGGACAGCTGGTGGCAAAGAATGGAAGGCAATCACTGAGAAAAATGCCAAGAGGAATAAAAGGATAGCTAGAATGTCAAAAGACAAGGGTATGCACTCTATTTAAATGAAGTGATAAATAAACAAACAAGCAACAACAAAATTGTAAATAGCAATTGAAGCCAGAGAAGAATTTGAAGTCATTCAATCTAAGGAAGTGTGAACCTAAATCAGACCAAAAGCCACCTCAGCTTTTAACAGAATGCTGTATGCAATTTCTCTTGTTCACTTATATCATCTTTGCCGTGTTGGTTTTCAGGAGAACAATTCTCAGCTCAGTACAAGAGAACAGTAATACTGGTGGGCATGTAGAACATTAACATGTTATAAATAAATTGCTAATTTGAGGTGGGAAAAATTGTCAAGGCAGCTCTCATGATTAAGAACTCAAGGAAGAAAACGAGCAATTTGCTTACGCTTCCAAGATACTATTTTTGCAAACAGAACTTTCTAACCCCCAGGTCCTGAAAATAAAATCCTAGCACCAGAGAAATAACCCACTGCTGTGACAAAGTAGCGAGGAAAAATGCTATTATAATTCTTACAGTCCTCCCTGCCTCCAACCTTGAGTAGTAAGTTGCCTTTTCTCCTGGCTCAAGAGGTTTGTACTGAAAAGAGTACTACATCAGAGCTGTGAAGTCTCAGCTTCCTCTCATCTGACTCGCAGCTTTACATAACTCGTAAGAGACGTTTTCAGGCTAAAGATACTGCATAACCAAAAAAAGAATAGGTACTGAACTATTATACAGCAATGTGCAACTGGGTTATTTGGAGCTGCTTGATAAAAGTCTTACTACGGAAAGTACAACTTTATTCTGCCGCATTGCCGCCCGGGATTATTCCCATTTCTGATAGGCGCCATCGCCACCGTCCGTCTGTTCCGAAACGGGTCCCCTTCCCCAGTGTGCAATTAGAGATAACGGCCTGCTGCCATCCCGGGTATTATTTTGGTATCATTCAAGCATTGTCGCTCTTCAGCAGAATGCCACTTACTAAGCAGTGTTATAAAAATGACTGTGGATATCTATGCTCACCATAAGCAAGGATAATGGCCTCATTGCGCTGGTCTCGATAAAAGTGGCATGTTCGAACAAGACAGCTTTCAGGCAGGGCAGAACAAAAGCCCACTGTGAGAGCCATAACCAACATCAATTCCCACTATGTGGGGACATTAGACCAAGTGTGAACTAGCTTACACGACGGGGACAAAAAACTGACTGTCGATGTGCAGGGCCAACACTGTCTAAAACACTACACTGGCACATCAGAAAGAAAGCCACAGATATACATGGCGAGGGCCGTTTCGTTCCAGAGTCAGCAGCGGAAGAAAACAGTAGCAAAGGGCATATTGGGTTACTACCATCACCCAAGACATTATTACTCCATATACTTCCATTTCTAGCATCTTGGCTTGTGAAAAATAACCTTAAAGCCAGCAGACAGACACACCAAAAGACCCCAACCAAAGAGCAAAATGGAACCCAAGTTTCTTTAAGGACACAGATGGAGTTTAATATCAATTCCTTAAAACACTTATTTTCCAATATAAAGTTTAACAATGAACAGTAACACACAGGAGCTGCCATTTCAGTTGAGGTACTAGACCCGTCCTGCCTGGATGTCACTATATTTGTTTTTTTTTTTCCCTTCATACATTTATCTACTTAAACTGTGGTAGCATCCCATACGCCAAAAGCCTACCATCAAAATAAATGTGCTATACTAATATGAATATTGGATCCAGAGGTTACTGTTTTAACTTTCAGACCTGAAAACATTTCTTCAGTGGCAATCAAGGAAGATGTGCTGTAAACAAGCCTATATGTCATTTTGTTTCTGAACAATATGAAATGCAAGTTTTAAAGATTTTAAGTTTTAGAGAGAGAGTAGTATATGTGCTGTACTGAGCTTCCCACTGAAAAAAGTGGCATCTGTACTTTCAAATGTGCAAAACTCACAAAATCCTACAGTGCAGATTCAGTGGTTTGCAGGAGGGAAAAAAAATGTCATATTGACTATGGTATTTCAATTTTGTAACAAACTTGAAGAATCAAAATTAAGAGGAAAAATATATTTAGAGAGAAATAGTAGAGTGGCAGTGGATCAATAAGCCTGATATATTAGACTCTTGCACTGCATGGTCACAGCCACCATTGGGCCTAAAAAAAGACAAATGTCTCCGTTATTCCTAAACTTGGGAGTTTTTAAGTCACGTTCATTAACTAGGAAGGAAGTTTGACAATGCATTTCTTTTTCCACCTCCTTTCTAAGGACAAGTTAAGCAACACACAATAACCTTTGAAACAATAGTGGCATGACATAAATAAAAAAATAAATAAAGGAATGCATTGTAAAGAAGAGAAAGTATTTGAAGAAGTTCATTAATGAAAATTACTTCTAGAATCTATGCGTTTATTAATGAACGCACACATACCACAACTAAAGGGTAGGCACTTTGAAGCTGAAGAAATCAAGGGTAAGCAGACACCTTGTTATCTAGTTTCCCAATACAGTTTATTTTGCCAAGAATCATTGTTCAGGCATTTTCTGCAAGTTTTCACACAGCTTTCCAAAACAACCGATGGCTTACAACACATATATGATGGGACCAATTTAAAGATCTCAAAATGAAAGCAAAAAGCAAAAACTGCTTTGTTTTAATAGTGGTCTCTTCCCATACAACTTGAGTTTGTAAAGTGCCAGGTTGTTTTTATTTATTTATTTAAGTACTTTAACTGAACATCACAGGAACCGTAAGCAGCCAATATCTTTCTGGAAAAACAGGTCCTAAATCTTTTGAAATGGAGCTCCTGAGGTTTCAAGTAACCTGAGGTAACGGACATTTCTAAACCTAGATGTAGCCATGCACAAATTGGATGAAATCTTGAAAGCATATGCAGGTGGTCCGACTTGGTCTCCTCCTTAAACCAAGTTAATGGCGAGTATGCTCCTAAGGCAAAAGAGGTTCAACAGAAAGGCCTGAAAGCTGCAGAGCAAGCACATGCAAGAGCGATACGAATAATGTGCTAGTTTCCACATTACACTTTCACGCTGGTCTGGGCAACAACTGCTCCTGTTCATACGTAGGACAAGAGAAGCAAAACACGTGTCACTACCTGTAGGCAAGTTCTGTTTGTAAACAATTAGCAAAGCATATGGGATGAATTTGTATAAGCACAAAAGGAAGGCTATAAATACCTGAAATAGCAGCTCCTGCACACAAGAGAGGCCATTTTGAACATGCTCTGGCTCCACCAACATCTAGTCAAAGCCAGGTCTTCTCTCTTTATGTGACTTGCAAATGGAAATATTTACTACAATTCTTGTTGAAGCAAAAAGCCCTTAAGAACTCCATGAACGCCATGAGATCCAGCAAGTAATAGCACCATCCAAGTAGAAAGTATGATACTTCAAAACACATCCATGCCAGGCATAGCACTTCCAAGCGTGGTTTTGGACCAGCTTACTTGAGGAAAAGAGAAGTGAAATAGTTCCCTTTTAAAGATGTGATAAATTGGGCAATTTTGCCAAGTCTGTCTTCAGAGAGAAGACAGAACTGAAATTAAAACCAAGTCCAAATACTTCAGCAGCACCTCATGCCCCCAATCCTTAAAGCAGTCTCCCTTACATCACTCACCAGTGGGTGCACTGTAGCACTGGTTGAAACTTTGTTTTCTTCTCCCTAGAGCAGCAAGCAAAACGCTGCTCCCAAGAAATAAGCAGGAAGCTATTAACTCTGCCAGCCAAAATAAAAGCCTGAAGTCAAAATTAGTCATTTGTAAGTCTGATAGTTGCCACCGTATACTTGGCATTGCCAGCCATAAATGAGATTATTTGCAGAGACTGTAAGACTTGGAGGTTTCGTTGCGCTAAGGAGAGCTTTCCATCTGCTGAAGCCTCGCTGCGGGCACAGCTGGCAGGAAGTCACCACCACCGGGACAAGAAGCTGACCTGAACCAAGTCCATGGTCTCTGATGCCTCCTTAGCGGGCAGCTTCTCCATGCCCCCTGGCTGCCCCTGCATGGCTCGAAAGCCCGGAGCACTGGCCATGCCCACTGGCATGGAGGGTTTTAAAGCGTAAGCTAAGGTCACCCCCAGACCTGCTTAATTTAGTATATTACTGATTCAGCTCTCCTCCATCAGTTCTCAGACCACAGGGTGACAGCATGTTAGGGTATTCCCGGTAAGAGAGGGCTTCTCTTTGGGAAAACTGACTGGAAAATAAATTTCTGCCAGGGAGAACGCTACATTAGCGAGGCCCCATTCAGGAGATCGTCAGTAGTGAAATCCAGAGGTTTGAGAAGAGTCATATTTGAACTACTGCTACCAAAAAAAGGCATCTTCATTTCTTACCTGATACCCCCGTTCTGTGCTCTGAGCAGGAGGGAAGGGCTGGATTCCCCTCCCACACGCACCCAGCCCAGCCACACAAGCCAAGGGGCTCCAGGCGTACTTCATTTGCCTTTTTTTCAACCTGCCGCTCCATACTGAGGCTTTCTAATGAGTCTATTACCATAGCAGTTAGGCCCAATCAACCCCCTCAGCTCCGCATGCCCTGCGTTCCCCCAGGGTGAGGTTTGAGACCTGGTGAAACAAGTTAGCTCCACCTGGGTCTCTAGCTCCTGCCCAGCCCACCATCCTGCTCTCCTGGGCCTCGAAGCTCCCCTCATTGACCGCGACCGTCAAGCCCCCACGCAGGACCAGGCCACGAAAGCCTCCCAAGCAGAGGTTCCCAACTAAGAGGGACACCTCTATTTTAAAAATGAATGGCTTTCATTTCAGGAGAAACTGAGTAGTCCAGAACTCTTTACCTCGGAGAAGGGAACCAGGGACGGATGATAATGTGTTATCATGAGGTGCATGGAGAAGCAGGTGTGAGAAAATCACTTTCCGCCCTTAACACAATACCGGCAGCACCCAGTAACACCATAGAACAAAAAAGAAAAAGGCCAGAAACAAAGCAAATTATCTTTTCTTTCCACACAAGATAATTAAATCATAGAGCATTTTGTTACATAAGTTTAGAACAACTACTAGATTCATACATGGATTAGACAAAAAAAAAAAAAAAAAAAAAATGTCCCAAACCACTGGTAGCTATTAAACTCGCCACGACCTGTGAGGAAGCGAACGCTAGCGGTGGGTTTCCAGGAGGAGAAGGCCTGCTCTGTGCACATGCCATCCTTCATGTGCTCTCCCTGTGAACCTCTCCTACAACCATAGTCAGGGACACCAAATAGGAGAACTTCCAATCTTGCAAAATACAGCGGTTCCTAAGGTTAAAGATTTTTTTTCTTCTCGCACATACTCAACAAACAAGAGTGCTGTGAAAATTAGCACAGTAACACCAACGTGCCTGGAACAAAATGAAGGGAAAGGGAATGCCTTTAACTGTTCCATCCACTGGAGCAAGCTCTATGGGAAAATAAACCATCCTAAAACAAAGCATACCCTTGGCAAGCAGGCCAAGGTGGCACAAGGAAGAGCTCCTCATGGTGAGAGGAGGAAAGGCCAAATTTTGAAAGCAGAGGCCCAGTGAGCCATTTAACACCCTGACAGCACCCAAAGGAAGAACTGTTTCCTTCCTTCAGCTCACTCCTCCCCTATTGGGCCACACATTGCCATTGCTCACTGCATACCACATCTAATGCTCCTCAGAACATCTTACCTCCTTAAACCAACAGAAAACCAAACAGCAACCAGATGCAGAGGGAAGAGCACTGCTGGCCAGGGCAGAGCGAAGGAGAGGATGAAGAGGGGACCTCAGAGGGGGAGAAGCAGCTTCTTCCAGCAGCATTAAAGTCTTGAGCGTTTCATCTGCTTGTGGAAAGCAGCCAGAAGGGCTTATCATCGCAGGGAAATAAACCCCCGGTACTCCAGTGGCTTTGGTGCAGACAGTGCCACACCAGCACAGCTGGATTTTGCGTCAGGATAGCAAAGGCACCATCAGCAAAGCAAAACAAGCCACAGGCTGCTCCAGGACGGTCTTCCTAGGGCACCTGCTTTCCGCTAGGTGCTTCTTGGCACAGTTAGGGCACGCAGAATTTATACCTGTCCAAACTCCTCCTGCACATGGTCCTGTGCCAAAGCATCACGTGCTGCCTCCTTGGGCTCCAAAGCAGACTGTCCCTGAAGAAGATGCACTTAAACTAAACGTACTCCAGACATTATTCAAAAACCTAAGGCCCTAGACTCATGCTAGCTGTCATTCCTAATAGCAGAAACTATCAGGCAAAGGAATATGAAGATGGGGCTGAATATGAAAACACCCATGACTTCCTCATGAACAAAGTTTTTTTTTTCCCCCTACAAAAAAAGAAAAGCTACTAATAGAGTAACTGGCACTTCCTTTATGCAATTTCTAGGCTTTTCTCCCATGCCTTACATCATTGTTTAGTCCATATGTCCAATTTATCCAGCTCCTTTACCTAGCATCTAGAGGGAAGATTAAGCATTTTCCCCCTTTTCTACCATTCCAGCTGTGACTTGCTGAGAAGGAGGCAGGAAGAGGTGCTTTCTAAACCACCAGAAAAGGAAAGAGGTGCTAAGTATTCAGTTTGGAAATGTAAATCCTTCCAGCCCCTTCTGAAGTATGCGGAACCAGCCTCTCCAAAGCTCATGTCATCTAAAGGCCACAAGAGTTCTCTAAAGATATTCTTGTTAAGAGGATTTAGCCCCTTTTAAAAAGGACTTAACATGTGGGTGGTGTCTCCATTTAAGTATTTTCTCATGGCTAAGAAAATGGCCCTCTTCTTAGAGGCTTATCTTTATAACCCAAAGACAGTAAGAAATTCTCCACTATTCGAATTAGAAATATTTTTGAGCAGCTTTCCTTTTTAGTAGCTTAATTTTTAAAGACTGGGATTTGCAGATGGTAGTGACTTTCTCACACCAAGCAAGAAGCCAACACCAGAGAGAATGCACCTGATCTAGCTTTAAAATAATTTCTCTCACATTGGCCCCAGTTTCATGAGGAGCTCCATTGACTTACAAGCTTGCTAGCATCAAAACGAGATGGCCTCAATACTCCTCTCCCTTCCCTTCCTCCTCCTGTCCTCTTCTCACCTTCCCTTGGTGGTCCCTGGCACTTAAGACTTTCCATTAGCTGGTTCAGCCTGCTAGCTCAGGTCGGAAGACATTTTTTCCCTTTGGTCAGGGTTAGCTTTCCACCAAGCTGGTGAGCTTTACCGGTTCCTCGGAAGGCTGGTGAGGTCCATGGCAAGGAGGGAGCTGAAGGATAGGGAAGAAGCAGGACTCACTGTCCCCGTATAGTCAGAGAAGCTTGTCCTGTCTTTTGAGGTAGGAGTTTGGGCTTTCCCGGTTGCTATTGAACATATTATTGTTGGCATTTCACCACCCTAGCGCTCAGTTCTGCCTGGTAACGGACCAGCCGCTATTAAGCTCATGGGAATCAAGAAGCAGGTCCTCAAGTAAGCTGAAGGGCCCCATTTCCAAAGGCACCAGAGCTCCCAGCAAATTCACCATGCAATCTGGGTCACAGCCTCCGAAAGCCTCTTCCCAGTCCACCGGCACACAGAAGCACTGGGGACAACCCTTGGTCACAGGCGCTGTCATGGCATGGGAGTGACACAGCATGGAATAGACTTTGGATGGCACCAAGAAGCCTGTTTGGAGATGAGGCAGCGTGCAAATTCTCATCTCTCTAGGGCAGAGGCCACATGTTAAGGGCTAGCCTACCTTTTCAAGGGTGGTTACACTTGCAAAATTACTAATAAAGTAACTAACAAATTCCCAGGGAGGAAACCGCTTATTATGGCAAAAGAAACTTTTTTTCTTTTGAAAAAAGAAGCTAACACCTTCCTGAGCAGCCTAAACTATATAGCCATACATACTCTTTTCCATTCATACCATAATTTACATTTGTAAGTGGCCGGTTGGTTGCCAGCACAGTTGCATCTGCAAAAATAGAGCATTTTTATGCCACTAACAAGTGCAGGTGCGCTGGCCAAACTTTAGAGGATCCATAGGATGTTTTGCATAGTGGGGACCTGATTTCAGCTGCAAGGATCTCTGTGCACTCCTCCTAACTCAGCTCACTAAGTGCTAAATTTATATTGGTGCAGCTTGCCCGAGCTTCCTTCCTCTACTATCCAGTGTGGTCTCACTCCTCTCATGGGTTTCTCAAAATGGCTTATCTAGAAAGCACCAGGAAAACACCCCTACTTCCCAGGCCCACCGATTCACCGGTACATTTGAAGGAAAAATAGCCAGGAGTCAGAGAACCACTGAAAGGCTCTGATGTCTCCTAGCCTGTCCTCAAGGACCAATGGGCATCAGCCCTCGCTGGCGGAGCAGAAAGGAAAAGGAGAGCACCGGGATGCTCCAGCCTGACTTTTGGAAAGTTGGGTCCTGCAGCAAACCAGCTCCGGCAGAGCTGGATCATGATGCGTGGCCCCTTTCCCAGCATGTGCTTTGAGCTCTCATCACCCCAGGATGGGGCCAGCCAGGCTGCAGGCACCACAGCTTCCTCCCTCATCGCTGCCCAAAGCAAACACAGGGTCTGAGGGCAGCTCACGAACTGGCTTAGCCCTCGAGAAGGGACTTTTTGGGGAGCAGTGCTCAGAAATGCCTTTCATCTTCCAAACTTATAGATGGGAAAGCGGGGGGAAGATCTCATGGCAAGGTGTTCTTCCCATTACAGATGTGAGTGCTGCAGAGAAATATCGCGCTAAACTCATGCTTGGAAGCCTCCTGGCAGCCCATTGAAGGAGAAATTTTAGAAGCCACCTATGACACCAATGCCCCTTGCACAAGGCAGGGACACCCATGCGATTCTTCCCTCAGAATCGCCACGTTACACAGGCTTCTCCCTAACATCATGCGGGAATCGAACCCATCGCATGGGACAGCCAGACATTGACCAAGCAGCCTGAAGCAGCCTGTTGGACACAAATCCCCCCTAACGAGAACTGAAGGCCCCAGGCAGCAAGGGATCAGTTAACTGTTACAGCGAAGATGCTGGGCTATTTGATTTTTTTCCCCTAGCTTGGGATAGGATTTGGGCAAGCCTAACCCCCACCGCTCTCAAACTCCCACGGCTGCTTCAGCAACAAACACCTGCAGAAACAGACAAGCAGGGAAGCTCCTGTCACCCACAGGGGTGACACGAGGGACACAGGGCACTGCGATACCAAGCG